TGTGAAATATCCCCTCTCAAGTGTACATTTCTCACCTCAGTAATGCCCAGTCTCACATTCACTGACTGACTTAATCCTTTAAGCTCCTAGTGGAGCAAAGGACGTCAACTTTTCATGCTATCTTCTTGGCTACGGTATGTTCCAGGTGATGCTGGCCATCTTCATCTCTTTAATCTTCAATCGGCCTTCTCCATGTCTTAGCAGGTCTTCCCACCTTCCCTTTGTTCTGCAGATTCCACTTCAAAGCCCGCTTAGTCATGTCAGTGGCTCATCTTTGCAGCGTGTGGCCTCTCCAAGACCACTTCCTCTTGCTATCTCAGTTGGTATGATTGTGCTCTTGTCCTGACCTGCACCAAAGTTCTTTGTTACTAATTTTTTTTCTGGCCAATGTACATGTACACTTGTATCTTGAAGATCTTTCTGAGAAATTTGTTCACAAAGCTTTGCAGCTTGTTCAATAAAGCTTGCGTCACTTTCCAGGTCTCTGATCCACAGAAGGGCGTAGTTTTCACATTTGTTGTGAAGATGCGCAATTTGGTTTTGGTAGAAATCGATGAAGAATTCCTGACTGGTCTAAGCATGTTGAGGGCCAGTCTGGCTTCGCCTATTCTGCTCTTCACATTCTCCTCAGCTCCCTTGGTGACTGTAATGGCACTACCCAGCTACGTGCACCTTTCTACTTCTCCCAGATCTTCACCATTCAACTTGATTTTGTCCTACCGCTTGTTGTTAGCTTGTATGCCTTTGGTTTTCTCTTCTCTTACCATGACGCCAGTGCTCTCTGCAATCAACGCCAGGTTGTTGGTCTTGGCTTGCATATGTTGTGGTTTCTGAGAAAGGAGGCATACACTGTATATCATCTCCATAATCCAGGTCACGTAGCTGAGTTGTAACATTTACAGTGTAGTGTCCACTGTATGCCTGTGTTACCCTTATCTTTCACCTCTCTCATGATCCAGTCATTGCCCCATTTCATATCACGAGGGACTGGGGAGATTCTGAACATCCACGGACAAGCAAAAAAAAATGGCGGCTACGTTGAGTCTGCCTGTTCCAAAAGATCAGAAGTTTCCGCAAAGATTTTCCAAGTTACCAGCCGCAAAACAAGAATTATCCTTTGGATTTATCAAGGGTGAGCTACTGACTGGAAAACTAGAGTCTGTAGAATGTGAAGAACTGCCTAGGTATTGCAGCAAAGTTCAACTTAAGACAAAGGTACAAAAGGAGAACTCATAGAATGATTGGCACCCCTGAAGGATGAGTGTGTTCGATAAGAGAGTGAACCAGATCAGTAAACAGTATAAATTCGAGACATCTCTCTCAAGAGAAAATGTACCCCCTCCAGCAGCGGGATGAAAGTTTGATACGGCTTTATTCCCGAAGATCAAAGAAGAAAACATAGACGCCTATCAGTCTGCTGAGAGTCTGGGTAAAAAGGGGCAGTACAGGAAGGCTCTACAGATGTTTCAGTCAAGAAGAATGAAATCTTTAAAGGTTTTGAAAAGAGGAGAATCTGAGGTGCTTATAAAAGCAGGCATATTGAAGCGTTTCATGACCCATGTCAGATGCATGGTTACCGTAAAATTTAATGTTAACATTCCTGAAAAGGTATACTGTGAATGTGCAGTGGGAAACTGTGGCCTTTACTACCATGCAATACTAGTTCTCGTACAGTTAAAGCATTTTACCCCTTATAAGAAGTTGCTTCTGGCCTTGACGTGTACTCAGAAACTTCAGACTTTGCACCACCCAACCACAGGAAAGTTTAGGATAGTGCAAAGGTTAATAAGACTGCATCTCACATTCACCTAAAATACTTCAGAAATGCACGCTCAGCTAGACAAAAATGTATTACATAAGCGAACAAAAAAGAAAGTTCAGATGCTGCATGGGGAGGACTCATATCTGGACAAGAGTGACTGTTTGTCAAGAGATGTCTCCGAAACAAACTCCAACGTACGTGTAGAAGATACACTACATGGAACTAGTTTTGATATTTCAAACCATTTCTTGAAGACTTTAATGAAATACAAAATACAATCTAACTTGTTTTGTCATCTGTCTTACCAAAATGCTTACTTGTGTAGGCTAATACACCATGAGCATAACTATACCAAACAGTCTGTGACCTATGATGACCCCATCCTTGCTCCACGATTTGCGGACAAGACTGAAGATGTCTCACACTCAGTACTGGTTCTAGCCAAGGGAAATGCAACTGTCTCTGAGCCAAACACATATTCTGGATCCCACAGTAATGAAAGTGTATGTTCAGAAGAAAAGACTAAAGAGTTACTAAATTAATCTCTCACTCAACTGAAAAGTTAATAACAGTCAACAAACTAAAATGTGAAAATGTTAAGCTTTGGGGATTGAAGTAATTACGTTAATGTGATACAAGGTTCAAAAGAATTGCTTGTCAGTCATGTAGGCATGATCACTCCCAGCAGGATACCAGCATTACTTGGACTGTGTGGACTTAAAGAGTTTGACAGTTCATGGTTTTGTATACATAACATTAGTTAGATGAGAGCTTGCATAAACCTAAGAAATTCAAGAACTTTGAGAGGGGCAAAGGAGAAATTGAACTTTGCTGGTAAAAATGAAACTAACAAGTTAAACCAAACAAAAACTTGAGAACAAGCCTTGTATTGAAATTAATACCTTATCATTTGTTTTAAAACAGGCATCCCAGTTTCAAACTGTGGATTCTTCAAGCATCCAGTAGATGCTAATTATATGGTGTTAGCCCTGAAGGAATAACACAGTCATTTTCAGAACTCCACAGCACCACTGGAAAAAGTTACTGGGTCCCATGTAGTCCAAACAAACTTCCAGATGAGTTGTACAGGTGGTCAAATAACATTTTTGCAGTCATATCTACCAGAGAAGGATGTCTACAACCTCATATCATATTGTTGCAGAAAGAATTTTTACCTTAAAGAAAGAGCTAGAAAACATTTTTGAGTATCGAACCAAAGGCGCTATCATTAGGTCAAAATCGCAATGGTACAGCGAGGGCGAAAAGAACTCCGGATATTTTNTTTTTACCTTAAAGAAAGAGCTAGAAAACATTTTTGAGTATCGAACCAAAGGCGCTATCATTAGGTCAAAATCGCAATGGTACAGCGAGGGCGAAAAGAACTCCGGATATTTTCTAAATCTCGAAAAAAGGCACTGTAAACAATTGAGGAACAATTAGTCAATTAAAAATTAATGACACTGACTTTGTCACCACAGACAGAGATATCTTATCGGAGTGTACGGCTTTTTATAAAAATCTTTCAGTATACGTCAAAAAACCCCGACAGCCTCCAGTCAAAATTCCTCTCTAAAGTGACCTCCACTTCTTTGACCAATGAAGAACAAAATTTATGTGAAGGCCCCTTAACTCAAAAGGAATGTTTCGAAGCCCTGAAGAAGATGAGTCTGACAAAACGC